TTGTAGGGTATGCTACCTTATACATTCCAAATGGATTTTACATGGTTATAAAAATCCTATCAAAGAGTTTTGAAAGAAAAGTTCTCAAAAAGTGAGTAAATGTTTAGAAAGACAACGGACTTGAGATTCCGTTCTTCAGAAGGAACACATGTTTGACGGTTCGGATCATACAGTTTACGGTACGAGTCACATCTCGGTACTAATTCCAACCATATTAACTTTAACACATGGGTGGAGGTTAATGTCTTGCCAAAGGACATTAGTGCCGAGGTGTAACTCGAACCGCAAACCATGTGATCCACAGTCCGGTGACATATCCACTAGACCACGACATCTCTACTACTCTTACAAGAGATCTTAATTATAAAATTATGCTTTCGAAATCAATTTAACTCGGCTAGAAATTGCTCTTACCCATACTGCCGCCATTCTTTCACAACACCTCCTTGCCTGCATCCATGGAGATTCCTTCGAGTTAAAAGAACGTTTATTGCTCAAAGGGTAAAATAATCAAGCATCTGGTATGACAATTATATCTGACTAATACTGAATCTCTTTTGTGGAGTACGTTGGGTACTAACATGTATTTTATTATTTTTGTTATAGCTCGATCGCCAAGGCAACCATTTTTTGATGGCTCCAATTAGCTGAATACCATTGTTTCGTCTCTCGGTGATTAGGATAATTTGATCGGTGGATGATTGCCGGAAATTACTTTTCTTTCAAATGACCTCCGTTGAAAGGTCCATTTTCCAAAGACGTATAAGCACTTATAATATTACAATTAATAGCAATTTAAATAATGAACAGAGAAGCTAACCGGCATTGTTTAATTACTTCTCCACCTAGGAATACCCTGTTGAATCAAAGCACTCTATTCAGAGCCTTGTGCCACGACCAATTTCATTTAAAGGCGTCTATTTGAGCTTTCGTGGGTTATCCTGTTCAAGCTGACTTATTTCTGATCTGATATTATAGTATATTGTTGTATGTTGGAAGCTTGTCGAATAAAAATCAATCAATCAATCAATCAATTAATTTTGTATGGGGGGGGGGGGGGAGGTCAAGGACATGGGTCGATGCGTCCATAGAATACAACTTTATTCCATTATTATTATTGGAGATGGTACAGCCACTCCAAATTAATTGCGTGCCATTGATCTGAAAAATTGGTATAAACAATTCTTTAATCATTCTGTAATCAACTCTGTAATCATCCATGTACATTGCTTTCTAGTCGATAGTAATGAAGTGTTAGCTGATTAGATTCGATGACTTTCGATGGGACTTGAATAAGTCATGTTCGAATGAATGAGTAAAACAATAATATACTAGTAATTAAATTTCGAGCTCAACAGCAATTGGGTATTGTGTTTTGTCGTTACTGCATGACTTTATTTGACTATGCTAACCCTGCATGGTAAAGTAACATAAACAAGTCAGATCAAAAGAACTTGAAGATTATACAGAACAAAATGGTGAGATTTATCAACTGTTCTGGTCCAAGAACTCATGTTGGCTACGGTGAACTTTCTAAAGCTGGTTTTCTTGAAGTCGACCAAAGATCAAAACAACTCGTATTGCATCACGTGTATACAATATATCATACTAGGTCGAATCATTATATTCGATCCAACTTCGATCTTGTTACTGACGTACATGATTATAATACCAGAAATAGCCGATTCTTTAACTTTACTTACCAGAAAGAGTAGGTAGTATTGGAAATTCGTTTTATCACAATGCCATAAAACATTGGAATTCCCTTTCCAATGGTGTAAAGGAAATAGAAAACTATCCTCATTTTAAGAGAAAATTAAAGGAATACCTGATACTTGCAGGCGCGGATCCAGGGGGGCCAAGCGGGCCTTGGCCCCCCCCCCCCCCCGCAAAAAAAAAGAAAAAAAGAAAGGAGAGAGAGAGAAGGAAAGAAGGGAAAGGGAAAGAGGAGGGAAAGGGAAAAAAAAGAAGAGGAAGAAGAAAAGAAAAGACTAAGGAGGGAAGAAGTAGATCGGGGGGGGGGGCAAAAGGACTTGCCTCCCAGGCTGTTGCCCCCCCCCCCCCCAAATCAAAAAATAAAAGAGAAGGAAGAAAAGGGAAAGAAAAAGGAAAAAGAGGAGATACAGGGAAGGAAAAAAGAGGAAGAAAAAAAGAAAAAAAGGGGGTATCAGTTGCAATTTTCCCGCCAACAACTTGTGGATCGGGGGGGGGGGGGCAAAGGAAGGAAGAGAACGTAGGAAAAAAACTGAATTTAGACAAAGATTAAGAGTCGATAACGACACAACAAATCGTCTTCTTTCTCTAATGATTTAATGAAACGTAAGCTTCCGCTTAGCGCGGGAAGGGGAAAACTAAATTCAGACGAGGATTATTTTTTGGGAACGGTACAACAAATCGTCTTCTTTCTCTAATAATTTATTGAAATGTCAAAGCTTCCGCGTTTCGCGGAGGAGGGAGGGGGAAACTCGCCCCTCCCTGCACCCACCCACCCCCAATTACGTCACTGCTGGTCACCATTACAAATCTAGGTTTATGTGCTTCATATGACGCGTTTCGATGCGTTTCAGACCAAGGTTTAGACAAACCTTCGTCTGAAACGCGTATTATGATGCACATATTACATAAACATAGGTTTGTCTACAAACCTCCTTTGTGAATTCGGGCCTTTGTGATTTCGGGCCTTTGTGTCTGTGTCCTTCCCTGGCTTTTCACACGACACATTTGCTAGTAAGCGCCTGTTCCCCCTTTGTCCACCCAACCAATTTTTTCAGATACCCCACTGATAATGTTCATGAAGCATTAGAAAAGCATTGGAACAGACTTATATTATCATAAAAAATACAATTTCCTATAGTCGTTCATACCATTTCCACCCTTTATACAGTATTCAAGTTATTGATATGCTAGAAAATATGACGTCTTCTGGTGCATATCTGAAAAATAAAAATCGTTTGCCTCATTGAGGGTATCTGATATTTTTCCTGAGGGAGGGGGGAGGGGCGGGGGGGGGGGGGGGGGCTGGTCTGACTGTGCCCATTTATATATAATATATAGGACACTCTTCGCTTTGTTAGTTTTAAAAAATGCATTAATTGTACATGGAATCGCTAGGCTGCCACTATTATATAGGCTCATTTAGGCCAGCCAATTGCATTATAGGGCTTGATAATAATGAGCACTTGCTCTCTCCCCGGCGTGGCGTTTGCCAGATCTAATCATTCACACCTTCACTGGGGTGGTTCTAGGTTCTAGGATGTTGTTAAAGTCAGATAAGAGAAGTGAATGACATGTTATATGATTGAAATTTGTCTTCTTCTGCCGGTTCATACTTTTTCATTTTGTATATACTTATGTTTTCGTACGTTATAGAAATTCTACAAATTTATCATTATTTTCCTCTTCTTCCTCCTCCTCTTTTTTTCCTTCTCCTTCTTCTCCTTTTTCCTTTTGTTCTTGTACTTATTATCATTTCTATCATCAGTTTAATGTTGTTAGTATTATTATCTTTAAAGGTAATACAAAGTTTTGGGAAATTTCGAAAATTGGGTGGATAGTGAATCTTTACAATTTTGATATATTTGGATGCCCCTATGGATGTATTATAAGCACTAAAAAAATTAGCCCCTAAAACACTTCTGTTTTCGAGAAAATTTGAATATAAAAATTTACCGGTGCTCCCAGTAAATTTTGATAAATTTCAAATAGCGCATATGGCCGTACAATCGTAGCTGCCACCATAAAAATCTCAGAATATGTAGTTGGGATATATAATTTCCAAACGGGAATAGCTAATCGGTCGATTTCAGTCAAGAAACATTCTTTCATAGCTAAATTAATATATTGACCTTGAGAGGGAGCTATACAACATAAAGAGTTTATTATTTATAATTTCATAACTTTAGACTCGATTTCAACCGCGTCAACGATCAATGTATATTGTAGGAACGCATGTGCTTCCAATATGTTAATTTGAACCAAATTCATGACCCCATACCAAAACTTTGTAATACCTTTAATAAGTAATTCTTTTATTTATTTTTTTATCTGTCTGTAAATATTACTATTTTAAGTTATTAATTGTATTCATGTCTGTAAGGGACCCCATTGTAAATAAGCTCTCGAGCTTTCGTGGGTTATCCTGTTCTTCTTCTTCAGTAGCAGTACAGGCCACCGTCAGGTGTATTTTCGTACTGTTGAGGTGCAATGCAGATGTGTGTACAATGTCTGATAATGGCTAGGTACAGTTGACTGAGTGCGAGTAAAAACAGCTACCATTTTAGCTGTTCAACTTCAAGCTGACTTAATTATTTCTGATCTGTTATTATTGTATATTGTTGTACGTTGGAAGCTTGTCGAATAAAAATCAATCAATCAATCAAAGTGGTACGTTTTACCAGTGCTGGTATCTCTTTGGTTCAACTTTCCCCAAGAGTTTGACAAGCAGAGAGAGAGAGAGAGAGAGAGAGTAAGAGAGAGAGAATTAAAGAGATTAGGAGAAAGAGAGAGCTAGAGAGAAGTTATTGTGCATTTTTAAAGGGTTTTCCAATTTTTTAAAAATATAATTATAGCAATCGTCCACAGTCCACACCAATGTATGCTCAGCTATACAGCTCTCAGCTCTGTTTTGCACGAGCAGCACTTTTTCCCACGATATCAATGTCAAAGGCATTTAGCATGCCACGCAAGCCTGATATTTCATCATCACCATCCTCATCCTCATGTCTATACGTCGAATCGCCCCAATATCATCACAGCCAAAACATTATCGACCCAAAATTAGTTTACCCAAAAATGTTATGGGGATGGAACTGATTAGTTTTCAGTTACTTTAGTAGTTTTTTTAATCATAATCATAACAAACAATGTGTATGTCTCATGACTCATTTTTCAGAACTATGGTATTCTAACAGTCTGGAAATATTATTTTGCGAAAATACATACGAATGGCGATTCAGTTGAGGGGCGAATTCGTACTGGTGAACGTCGACATATGCTGCGTACGTGTGTACGAGTCTACAGTAATACGTGAACGTGAACTAGAAGTGCTCTTTGGATGTCTAAAGACGGGGTCATAAAGCTCAAGTTTTTGACATAAGTTGTTGTCGGAAAGTTGTGTAAGTTAGAATAAATGCTTATATCTCTTTACCCTCTTTGCCTCTTTTACTTGACATTATTAATGAACAACCAAAATTGGTATGATCTGTTCAAGTCGATTCAAGAAAACGAGCTCTCGTTTCTAGCTATGCGGCCAGCCGAAGCTCCAGGCGGGCGTAAGGGACAGCTATCGCTGGGTCCACCATCCACCTGCTCCGAATTATTTTAAATAGACTAGAGTCTAGTGCAGTTTGCAGCGGTTGGTCCAAGTCTTAGTCTTAGAGACGGCCTTTGCCTGGGGAGGCTGATGAAAATAATTAGATCTACTATGTACTGTAATAAATGTAATAAACATTAATTTTCTTTGTTATTGACGATGGGAATGGGATAGGGTCTAGTCTAGATTCTTGTACTACTAGATTCTGTAGATCTAGATTCGTTTGGAGTTGAGCTATTACTCGGACCCGGGGACAACTCTGCTCACTGCTAAAACGGTCAGTTTTTGCAGGTATAGGATTTAGGGTAAAATGACAAAAAATGACCATTTTGCAGCAGGCCGAATTGTCCCAGGGTCCGAGTTAGCCCGGCCCCATTTGTTTCATTCAGGGGATGTATACAAACATATTTAATGATGGAAAATATAATTTTTTTTAGTGCAGGGCAAATCATGGGATTGGGAGGGACCTAGCAAGAGACATCACAGAGTTGCCAATTTGTGTTTGATTGATTGCACCTTCAAAAATTCATAACTTTCTCATCTATAATCATTCTTTTGCTCAAACTTTCTCTGACCTGTTATCTCATTTTTCTGCTTTTATTAAAACCAACTTAATATTGGGGTGGACCTTTAAGTGTACTCTACACAAAGACAGAGATGTAAAACTAAAAGTAACCAGGGTATTGATTTTATATGTAGGCTTCATCTGTGCACAAGAAGAAGCATCCTCCTTTGGCAACTGTGCCTTTGATACACAGTACTCGAGTGAATTCAAACTTCAAAGCGATGTGGAATCCTACAATGGCCAGTTTTGCAAGTCTATCCCGTGCTGTGAGTGCAAGCACAACAGCAACACACCTAAAGACTCTGCTCAATCCTGAAATCAGCTTCTTACAACAGTCTCGACTACTGTTCAGTTACCTGTCACATCGGAATAGCCAAGCACCGACAACAACCAGGACTGGCAACAATGATGGACACCTTCAAAGGTTGTCCACTCATAACCTTATTGCAAATAGTATGTCTTCCCTGAGGTCCGTATCAACGACTGCAGGGTGTAAGAAGTCGGCGACGTCGAGAGCGGAGCTGAAGAGCAGCAAAAGGATAGTCCTGAAGCTAGGTAGTGCTGTGATCACAAGAGACGATGAGTGTGGGTTGGCCCTAGGTAGGCTGGCTTCCATCGTAGAACAGGTGAGTCAATGGCAGTGATTATACCAGGGGGATTTGAGTGGGACCTTCCTGATTAAAGAGAATCTTTCATTCCCTTCCTGAATGTTATCGATACATAATATCTAGGAACTAAAAGAGGTGATTTGTTTAGTCATGTGCAAACAGAGTGGCAACACCAGTTGAATTCCCTGGTTCACTGTTTGTAATTATTTGATACGATTTCAGGAACTAAGGCAGATGATTTTTCGGGTTCAGTATGTACATGAAATAGGCATCTAGTATAACAATAATAACATGTCTTTCATCATTTATATTTAGTAGCAACTATTTAAAAAAATAGTTTACGAGTTTTATTATAGAATGATGATAGTGAAGGTTTCTTGTATAGCGCAGATCACTTACATACTGTAAGTAACGTCTAAAGATGTGCCTGAAGAAAAAATGTTAAGAGCGATCGATCAGTAACCATAAAGAACAGAGTAACGACTTTCAAACTTCTAACAAGAGAGTTATTATTCGCCTTAATTCAGCATTTGTTCATTGTCTAAACATAAGATTTGGTAACCTACTTACTTGAAAGAAATGCCTTTCTACCTCCTCTCAGCATGCCATATGATGCACTTCATCCTCTGTGTAGGGGTGAACAGTAGAGGTAGACAGTCTTCCAAGGAATGACCATTATGACTGAAGCTTTCCATGTAGGTCTATAAGTTAACATTTACATACTGGAGATTTGATCCTATTGTTCCACAATGTGCATTTACAGGTTTCAGAGCTCCAATCTTCAGGCAGACAGGTCGTACTGGTCACCAGTGGAGCTGTGGCATTCGGGAAGCAGAGGCTACGCCATGAAGTCATGCTGTCAAAGAGCATCAAACAAACTCTTGCCCCAAATTCTTCTGTGAGTTGCCCTTTTAATGTTTCATGATCGTGACTTATTCTACTTGCATGTGATACAGTCTTCCTGTGTACTTCAAAAAAGTTATTACCAGCATCTTGCATGATACATTTTTCTTCTTGTCCATCTGTAGAAATTAAGACACACAGTCATGCTTTTCAAAGAAAAACAACCATTCATAGTTTAACTTCTTGGTTTAAAAAAAAAGGATTTCATCCCACATCATACAAGGGGTTAATATGTGAATGTGTAAGATGTAGTCAATGATGATCAGTAAAGTGTGGATTATTGCAAACAGCATTTTGTTTGTCAATGCCTTTCTATAATTTTTTTTAAATTTGTCGCTCTTAAATATATTTTAAAACTTGTTATCATAAATGTTCAAGTACATTTATATTACTGTAATTTGAAAACACGACTATTTAAGATAACATACATGTAATGTAGAGGTGTCGTGGTCGAGTGGATATGTCACCGGACTGTGGATCACAAGGTCCGCGGTTCAAGTCCCGCCGCGGCACTAATGTCCTTTGGCAAGACATTGATCTACATTTGCCACTCTCCACCCAGGTGTTAAAATTGGTACCCGGTAGGATGCGAAAGCTAATGTGGTTTGATTAGCAAGTGGCGCTTGTAAAATGGCGACTGGCTGGAATGCTCCCCAGGGAGTGGAGAATGTGCATACCTTGTGTGCGGGTAAGCCTGGATCCGATGACCGGGGTAATAATATGTTCCGCGCCTAGAAACGTAGTATTAGGCGCATTATAAATGTGAGCTATTATTATTATTATTATAATGTAATATGAATGCAATTGAAACTGAAATTACACTTGTTTTTCCTCTATGAATGCAGAGCATTATTCAGATGGACTCAAGAGCCTGTGCTGCTGCTGGCCAGAGTGGTTTGATGTCTCTATACGAAGCTATGTTCTCACAGTATGGGCTCACTACTGCTCAGGTAATGATATCAGCTGCTCAGAGCTAGAAGGGCATTAAACTCTATGTAAAATGTAATATTAACGTACCTTTTATTACATAATCTGCATACTTTAAGTACATTAAGTACACAACACAATGCAGAAGACATGAGAACAATATAACTTTTACCCCCCACTTTTTTTAAGTGTACAGATATTTAATTATAATCATCATGCCCAACCCCTTTACAAAACCCTTGACCTACCCTTCTAGTGAGATGATGGCAATGTTGTTGTTTTAGTTTTTATAGGCGTGTATCATTCATTCATGAATATTTATGCTGAAGCAAATATTTATGCAAAAAACGGGATGCTGTAGCCTGATTTAAGGACCTGACACCTCCCTGTTTCAGCCTTTTTTAGGCTTCATATTGTATAGCGCATATGGGCCTCCGATCTAGTGGTAAGTTTATTTTCAAGCACACTGGCTGAAATCACCTCGGCCCTGTTGCATAAAATCTTTTATCAATAAAAAGTTACAAAAACTGTTATAAGCTACAGAAATCAAGGCATTTAATTGGCTGAGAGCAACTTTGTAATATTGAACTTTAGAATTTGTTATTGATAACTGACAAGTTTTATGAAACAGGCCCCTGGCCCTGGTATCCCTGAAAATAGAATGTGGCCAGTGTTGAATTGAGGTGAGCCACATGACAAACTGATGACTTTAAACAATTTATGACATCCCTCTCCCCCCACAGGTACTGGTGACCAAGCCAGACTTCTACCACGACTACACCCGCAGCAACCTCCGGGGCACCATGCAGGAGCTGCTGCGGATGAACATCATCCCCATCATCAACTCCAACGATGCGGTGGTCCCACCCCCAGAGGAGGACAAGGACTTGGCCGGGGTAAGAACAGGGGTAAGGACTAATAGTGGTCCACTGATGAGGTCGTCGGACTCGTTGGGGCACTTTTTATACTTTTTTCTCATACACACATAGACACTATCACCCACTTATTGGCTCATAACATGGCAGGACTACACACTCTAACGTAGTAACATGGACAGTTCTCCTTTGATACTGTGCAACTTTTATATTTGCATTATTCCGTTTATAATACTATCCTCTTCTTCCTTTGCCCATCACATTTAAACATCCTTAGTTAGATTCCATTGGTTAAACTCAAGCTTGTATACATGTACATGTACAGTATGTAACCCCATTCAAATTCTAATACTATATTTCAAAAGAAAGTTGAGTTCCAGCCAAGGTGAAACATTTCTCTTATTCTTTTCTTTCCAATGAGAAAGAATATCATAGTAGCAATGTCACATGACAAGAAATACTTTTGCATGCCCTCATATTCTGAATATAAATATAAATAGTATAAAACTTTGGACCAAATTTTGATGCCACATGTATGCATAGTCCCTCATATCCATATATGTGCGCAGTGATTTTTTCACTGCTTGTGATTTTCAGCATGATTGAGTCACTTTGTTCTCAAGAACCTCGCCATACACAACTATTCTTCTTTATTACATGATCAACCTTTGTCAATAACTTTTAGACCATTTCTTTCACATTCCTCTTTAGTCATTAACTCTTAAGCTGCCACCCATACAATGCACCCAGTGCCACAGTGCTAATCCCTATTGTGCCAGCCACAAATCCCCCTGTGTGCCAAGTTAATTTTAGTGTTGGTTCAAGTTCGTGTTTTAAAAAATCTTTACTATGTTCGATCCACCATAACTTCTCATTCGTATGTTGTATAAATAAACATTGTACATGAAAGTTGTAGGAAATTTCACCCTCTTTCCATTGATACCAATATCATGTCATCAATTTGTAATTTTGCTGAGGTAAATAAGCATCTCTCGCACCAGATACGGGTCAATGAAGCATACCCGTTTCTTGCGATGGGGAGGCATAATGATGATATATGATATCAAAAACAAATCGCTAAATTACTCAAGAAAATCCAATCTGACTGTTGTAGACGAAGACGTGTAATCAAAAGCCGTTAATCTGATGCACACGATGGTACTTTCAATAGCGCTGCAAAAGCACTCAGCACGGTGCAATTGGCATAAACAATAACTGACATTACATATGCGTGCTAGCGTGCACAAAGCAGACAAGCAGTAGCTCGCTAGCATAAACGTAGCAATCAATCGATAGCGTGGTCGCGGGCACACGGCACTATAACAATAGTGCGCTGGCAGTCTCATGGCAGGATATGAGTTAATCATTTTTCACCTAACATTACAATTTCTCTCTGCTTACAAGTCTTCTATATATTTTAATACACAGTCAGTATAACACAGAACATCATTGGGTTCAAGATTGAGAAATTTCAAGGCTTATAAATTTAACTCCTCATATCGACGCATGCTGCTTCACTATGTTATTTCACAAAATATTAAGAAATAATTGATAACAGATCGTAGATATTCCATATTCCACCCCCTCCCTTTCTTGATTTAAATTTCTTTGTCTTTAAATCTATTTATTTTTCAACATGGGACAGTTCTATCCCCTGTGTATTTATTCACGCTAAAAGCATTCTGCCAACTTTATTATTATTATTTGCTATTCAATATTACTTACCATGTACAAGATGGTACAAGTAACCTTGAAATGCACATAGTGCTGTATTATCAATAAATCAAGCCAAATTGACCACAGAACATGGTTTCAAGACTGTAGGAAAAGCAGATATGGTACACAGGCTGCTGACATCTAAAGCGCAATCAATCTACACTTGTGATGAGTTAATGCATTTTTGGTTCCAGTGTGATAAACTTTCTTGACTTATTTCATGGACCAGTAACCATGACTGACACACTGTAGGTCATTCCTTTAAAAGGTACAGGGAGAGCCTAGTTCCCCATTTTGCCATAGATATTATATATCAATTAAGGATATAGTGTGAAATATCTTTTGGATAAGTTTTATGGAGTTATTAATCATAACACATTATATTAAGGTCTTTTGTTTCGATGTCAATGGCAGCCTAGTAGCTTGTTGTGCCTTTGATAAAGTACAAACTAGAAGCAACCGATGTGTAATAAACTTTCAAGCTATATTTCATGGAATACTTATCACTATTCCTTTGTTATATAAAAGTCATTAGTATCAAATACAACAGCAGGCTAGTAAGTAGCCCATCTTGCCTTCCATCTGATAAAAAGCAGTGATTAAAAAATTCTAATATACTTTCTAGTTATATTTCATGGAATACTAATCATTCATATAATTCATTTTGTTATTTAAAGGTCATTAGTATCAAGGACAATGACAGCCTGGCAGCCCATCTTGCCTTCCATCTGGTATTAACTATTGACTAATGATAAAATGTAATTTATATTTCACGGATTACTAATCATTTATGTATTTTGTTATGTAAAGGTCATTAGTATCAAGGACAATGACAGCCTTGCAGCCCGTCTTGCCATCGAGATCAATGCTGATCTACTCGTCCTGCTTTCCGATGTCGACGGCATCTTCTCCGCTCCTCCTGGCCAAGAGGGGGCGTCCTTCCTAGATACGGTCTACCCTGGAGACACAGCTTTCATCGAGTTTAAAGGGACTTCTCGTGTTGGGCTTGGCGGTATGGAATCAAAGGTTAGTTGGCTTGTAGGCATATACAGTCAAACCCGTCTATTAATGCCACCCAAGGGAAACACAAAAAGTGGCCACTATAGACAGGTGACCTCTCAAGACAACCTCTTCAAGACACGTTTCCTCCTTAATGGGGGCAATAAAACTGACCACTATAGACAGGTGGCCTTTGTATAGAGGTGGCCACTAAGGCAGGTTTGACTGTAATATGTTACCATGTTAAACTAGGTCAGGTATCTGCCAATACCTCGACCAAACCAACTCCACACCAAGTCCAAACCAACTGACTCTTGCCAATCTGTGGCTATGTAATTCTTTGTTTGGTCTGTTGTTGGTTGGTGTCGGTCTCGTTGGCGTGACAGGGGATATATACATATAGACAATGCTGCCAGACAAGCATGTTTTACATGTATCAGTAAATCATAACTTCAACATTTCTCATTCAAGTATGACTAGCTTGTATAGATTCTGCAGAGATTTGCCCTCTGCATACGTATTGTAATGCAATGTCTTTCTTCTTTAATACTGAATAAACAGAATAGGAGGGGCATTCTCAAATTGATTTGAGGGTTGGGCTTGAAATCCATAGATCCTAGGTTTCAGAATCAACATTTGGAGAAGGCAGATCTATGGACAGCTTGGATTTAGACATAGTCTGTCGGGAAATACACTTTCTTTCTTATGGCATGCCTTTTACTTCATTTATCACAATAAATTGAATAAATCATTTTACTCAGAACATGATACATTCCAAATATTCATGCATGATTAAGCCACAGAAGGTGACTACCGTATACAAAATATTCTATCATACTGTATAAAATGATCTTTTAATTTTAGCAGAATAATGTGAAATGTTGTAACAAATCAAATTTAGAACATGCCATTTGTTATTGTCTGCGCAAAGCAAAGCTTGTTAATCAAAAGAGATATCCGCGCAAGTATCAATGGTAAGTCTTAGTTCTGTGCATTTTGAATTTGTTGTGACAATTTACATAATTTTCTATTACATTAAAGATAACATCGTTTTCAGAATAGGACCTCTGTATATAACGACAGTGGAAGACAATATATTTAGTTTAGTGAGCAGATGTTTTTTTTTGCACAGGTACTTGTAATTATATGACAGACTTCACTGAGTAGCGCTTTTCTTATGGATAGATCGTCTTTTTAAACAGGTGGGTGCTAAAGTATGTTTCACTGTATTTACCACTTGATAGGTCAAAGCAGCCAACTGGGCGCTGGAGCGCGGCTGCTCCGTCGTGATCGGCAACGGCATGAACAGGGACGACATCGTCCTGAACATCCTCAACGGGCGGAAGGTGGGCACCTTCTTCACGGAGACCAAACCCACAGGCGTGTCCCCGGAGATGCAGGCTATAAAAGCCAGAGACGGTGGCAGGCTACTCCAGGCACTCACTTCCGAACAGGTACTACTTATGTCTCAATATCATATACCCGGCCTGTTATATTCTCCTTAATAAATTTTTTACTGCACAGGGAATAATTTTCCTCAAATTTTTTGATTAGCAATTTCAGCCGATGGATAAATATTTCAAATGAAACTCTGTACATTTCTATGGAAGAAAATTGCTACACAAAAGATATTTTGTATAGCAGTCATGCAAAAATGCATAGCAAATTGCGATGCGATACCAGGAAAATTATTCCCTGCTGCATAGGAACATTATATCTTCATTGAAAAGTATTCAATATAATATCATGATCAAGTTGTGAAGATGAAGGAAAGGTAAATAATCTGACAAGATGCAGGCTATCAAATCCAGAGACGGTGGCTGGCAACTCCAGGCACTCACTTCCGAACAGGTACCACAAAGATGTAATAATTTAGTGTTATGGTTTTATTTACGCAAGGTAGCCTTATCAATATCAACATTATTCTTCCAGACGGTCCTGCAATATATATCTCAGCATTACCAGGTAACCATGTGATACATTTGGGTGAAGAGGGACAAATGAAATATACAAACCAAGCAAGGATCAAATCCAGGACCTTTCTGTAGAATAAATCAAGGGCCTTCACCAATATACTCCTTTGTGGTCACCTCATGATGAAAGCCACATTTTGAGTGTTTATTTATTAACTATTCCCATCATGAGAAAATAAGTGCTGTCTTTCGTGGTCTTTTCATTTTGTAATACCCCTACCGTGCAAATGGAAAATGTTTTCATACTAAGAGGGTCTATATTTTAGTCCAGAAGCAGAAACAGTTGCCTTTATATATCAACGAAACAAAGTCACTCTTTGGAGTCCAGTATAAAAATGATGCAGGAATGGTGTTGCCCATGAGGGTTAACCCTACGTTAACTGGGGGGGGGGGGGGGTCAATTTGCCCCCCCCCCCCCCCCCTGTAGAAATTTCGGGACTACTCCGAAACCGTGGCAGATATAATATTTTCCTTTCATGACTTTTTTCTTTTGAGTCTTACGCATCTTTTAAACAATTTTTTCGAAAATCAGACTTATAGTTACAAAGTCACATGACCTTTTGTCTTCGCCTGTCAGCCCGAAAATCGCTCATTTTTGTGATTTGTGTACAAAACATATGGAAATGTCATTTTTCCTAAAAAGAGATAAAACATTGGTTATTTAGTCTTTTTTAAAGTTTAGGTGTTTGTTTTGGGGTCAAAATAGTTGAATTGTAGTTATAAATGAAATAAAACAACAAAAACAATAAAATACATAAGTTAAAAAACAAATGAAATACATAAGAAATTATCAAAACAAGAGATAACATAAGGAATAACGTGGCTCTTCCAATTCTTTGTGTTGTATTATTATTCCAAATGGTCTAACAAATATTTGAATTTAAAAAAAATGCTTAACTATGAATAATGTATGATTTATGGGCAAAAATGTGAATTTTATGACCTTATTTGCATAAATTACCATAAATATGCAAATGAGTGAATTTTTCAAAAAATTGAAATTACCATAGTATTCTATACACTTCACTTGACATGTATGCAAATTTTTGCGGCAATGGGCAGTGAAACAGCCGAGATCTTGGGGGGGGGGGTCAAATTGACCCCCCCCCCCCCAGAAAAACCTGGTCTGAAATAGCCCAGTTAAAATAGGGTTAAAGACAGGTTTCACTGAAAGCATCAAAAGCTGTTGCATAAGTCGGATAGATTCTCTACTTTCGCAACACTTTACAGGGTACATGTGATAAGTATAGTGATGCTTATCAAAACCATTACAAGGTACAATTGACGGTACTACAATGTTACTAATAAAAGATAAATCTAGAATCTTTATTTTGTTTTCCTTGCTTCAGAGAGCTGAGGTAATAATACGTCTAGCTGACCTCTTGATTGAAAGGTCATCAACCATCATGGCGGCTAACAGGAGGGACATTGATGAGGCTAGGCTAAGTGAGTAACCGTGGAAAAAATATTTAATTTTTAGAATAGAGTTTAGGAAATGTGATCTTATAACCAGTGGTTTCATGGTAAGTTTTAATCCTAACTTCACTTGGGTGGTAATTTTTTTTAAATATTAACCGCCTACCCGTCAATTGTATAATGTTTATGGCTGCATCATGATAGCCACAGATATCCAACATGCATTTTTGTGACTTTCCTCGTAGTTTAATAGTTGGAAATTAATCAGGCATGTTGCTAGATCATCTGACTTTTTAAAACTGTTACTGGAGCTGATATTGAACTGAAAATCGACTTTTTACATAATTTTTGGTACAAGAATGATGGGAAATATGGAGCATACCATTTGGTATTTACCATTTGGTATTTCCCATTTTTTCCTTGTACTTTGTCAGAAGAGAATCTTAAAGTGTACCAATTACCAAAATATTAGCTTCAAATATTACTTCTAGAAAGAGATATTGCAATTCGTATACATTCTAAGTGAATATTAAAACTTATTGTGGAGTAGACTACTTAATCTATGCGTACGCACATGCATAGAAAAAGGCTCACACGGAATCCACGTCCGACCTGGGTTTCGTGCAAGCCCTGTACGCTGGCTTTAATGTTATCCTTTATTTTCTCCGCACTCCTTAACCGTTTACCTAAAGAATTTTGAGGCTGATTTGATACATTCTAGCTACCAGTACATACAATTAATTTGTTTAGGTGATTGATACACTTTAAGACTTTGATGTCATTCTAATGTTTTAGTGTTACAAGAAATTTAAATTCTTCACTACTCTCTTCCTTTTACATACATCATTGATCCACTGATTTTCTCTGATTTGCCACAGGTAATATGACTGGACCTAACCTGTCCAGACTAGCGCTGACCGATGCCAAGCTGAAGAGCCTGTCCGACGGTCTGAGGCAGATTGCGGCCACCTCTCACAAGAATGTTGGCCGAGAGATCAAGAGGACATTGCTGTCCGATGGCATGTTGCTGCGACAGGTCACCGTGCCGATCGGAGTGCTCATGGTTATCTTCGAGTCCAGGCCAGACTGTCTGCCGCAGGTAGGCCAACATTTCGCAATCTGTTGCATAAATTCTATGAACATCACTGGAGAGTGGAAAGAAGAGGGGGCACCCGTCCTACTCGGTGAATGAAATTACCAAGGCCAGGGGAGGATGTAGAGCGTAGTCGTACCCTCTTCTTTTCACTTCTTTTCAGTTCCCTTCCCCCTCTCCCTTTTTCCTTTTTCTCCCTCTATATCTTTTCTTCTCTCTCTCTCTCTTTTCTTCTTTTTTGGAATTTGATTATCCCCTGCTGCTAAGCTAATGATGAAAAAACTATGAACAAGCTAACTTGTGGAACAAGGAGATATCTCAGGCTAGAGTTTATGGAAGAGGTGTGTTATATAAAAATGAAAATTTAGCCAACGGGAAAAGGTTTCCAAGGTGATTTTACTCTTTATTGCTGGACCAGGCAAAGAACAATACAAGTAAAAATAGATTCTACATTCTCTTTCCATATTTATGCTTCTTGAAAATGGAATTTTTTAATTTTTTATTTTTGTAGCTTGTAGGATATGCAGCAGCTTTTACGATCTGTTCTTCAACATTTTGTTTCGGGTGAAATGTGCGTTCATATTTAGTTTTTGTAAGTTTTAATTGGAAAGTTCTCTTATATCAGCTTGAAACCCATAACTCAAAAGATGGATCTCACTTTTATATTGCAGGTAGCAGCACTGGCCATCAGCAGTGCCAATGGTCTACTCCTGAAGGGAGGCAAGGAAGCAAGTTATAGTAATGAGGTGCTACACTCTCTAGTAGAAGAAGCCCTGGAGATGCATGATGCCAAAGATGCTGTAGCACTGGTAAGAGCATATTTTGCAATTTCTTTGGTGCCCTGACATTGATCAGGCGCGATGGCTCAGTGGTAGAGTAGCAGTCTCATAACCAGGTTCGAAACCAAGTCAATGCGCTTGTGCCCTTTGCTAAGGCATAAATCCTCATTACCAAGTCCATCGGAGAGGACCTAAAGCCGTCAGTCTCCTGGTTGTTTTCTTTAATACAGTCAAACCTGTCTACAGCGAGCACCCAAGGGAAGCACAAAATTAGATCTTTGTAGACAGGTGGTCTTCGTAGACAGGTGGTCACTAAAGCAGGTTTGACTGTACAAGCATGTACATGCTTTCTTAGCAGTCGGGTAAAACAATCATTGATCATCAAACATTTGTTGAGACAATAGACCAGTTCACGGTTAGCACATTACTGCAATGACCCCGAATATCCACAGATCTTCAAAACATGAAGAGGTCCCACTTTGTAAATTTTTGAAATAATCACTCCTACAGCGATGGATGTGCTACATAAATAGCCCTTTTTTCCCCCTTTTTCAAAGAATACTTCCACCTGTGTATCATGGAGTGCATAAATGAATAATGATTACATAACTTTCATGAGCACGTATCCAGTATTTCGTCTCCGTGTATTTCACAATTTGTTCTGCAATGACCTTTTTCTGCTCATGCTCAGATTGCGACCGTGAACTGGCTTATTGCTTTGGGCTTTATTTTGTCTAGGATGTAGCGTTAGGGTTGGAGTGGTATTGAATTTTAGGTTGGGGTTAGATTTTAGGCGAGGTGTTGTGTATGGTCCAGGATTGAAGTCAGGAATGTGTTAAGTGTTTTATAGTGAAGCATATTTATTGCTAAGCAGTTTTTGCGGAGGATGTGTCATGCAACCCGTATCTAGTAGAACTTGGACTTGTACGTTTATTGCCTTACGATGCTTGATAATGTTGATGAATGTATAATCGTATGACCCATTTGAAGCATGAGCTTTTTACTTGATACTAGTTTCCATCACCATTGAGAATTGAAATTTCATATAACTTTTTGAGCTTTCTTGAATATGTTCATTAAAGTTTGAGCATCTCATCAATCTGTGATATTGAACATGTAGTGGATTTTAATATTTAATATGTTAATGTGGCAACCATATTCAACACCTTTAGTACAACTCATCAAAATTAAATGTAATAGAACTCACACCAATTCAATTAAAGGCCTTTCAATTATAACTTTCATATTTGTTGAATGTGTGACTGTGACTAACTAATCAGGCTCCCAATCTTTATGAACATATATAAACTTGACGTCCAACCCTTCACAGATCAGTACCAGAGAGCAGGTCGGTGACTTGCTGAAGATGTCCGACGACATTGACCTGGTCATTCCACGAGGTTCCAAGGAGATGGTTCAGCTCATTCAGCAGCAGAGTGAGGGTATCCCAGTCCTCGGACACAGCGAGGGAATCTGTCATGTCTACATCGACGAGGAGGCGGATCTCGACATGGCCCTGAAGATTAGTAAGAACTTGCATCATTAAAACTTGCATTTGAAAGAGAGAGATAAAGAGGGGAAGAGAAAGAGAGATGGAGAGAGGGAGGGAGTGAGGAAGGGAGGGAGGGAGGTATGGAGGGAGGGAGGGAGGGAGGGAGGGAGAGAGAGATAGAGAAAGAGAGAATACTTAGATGTGAAATGACAGCCTGCATGAGCAGAGAATCATTTGCACTATCAGTGGGCATAGATTCCAATTCAAGGGTGATGTTATGCAGGACATTTCAAATTAAAAGGTAAAAATAAGAACAAAACACTAATACAATTTGGAATGCTGACTTGTACTCTGTTGAACAATTTATCTTGTGTCATATTCTTTGTATACAAGTCCAATATTTATTTAGCAGTACTACAAACTTTATAGAAATCAGTCATGAGCATTTTACATGTGCCAGAAAGAGACATGAGATTTTCTTGAATCACACAGAGTAGAATCAAGTGCAACTTGCATGATAATGTCACAAGTTTCAATTGTTTTGAACTGATGTCATGCCCATCTTCTGTTTGCGTATGAAGTAGGTGTACACTTTGTTTACAATTTATGTATAATGATATTTTTGTTCCGTTTATGACAGTCCGCGATTCTAAGTGCGATTACCCAGCCGCCTGCAACGCAATGGAGACGCTACTCATCCACAAGAAGTTCAGACATACTCAAGTCTTTGAAGATATCCTCGATATGCTGAGAGCAGAAAATGTATGTAGAAAGTTATTTTGGCCATATTTGCTAATGTGGATCTGTAATTCTATGTATGTCAGAATCTCTTAAAAGCACACATACCGGGGTATATTTTTCTGGAATTGTTTTACAGGAATTATTTTACACTGTTTTTAAAACAATTTGTTAATGATTTGTCACATTCATTTAAAAGTAGCTTTTAGATATTGTTACAGATATTAAAGGTACTATGTCCCTTTTGCAGCCAACCTCAAATTCTGTAGAACTTTGCAGGAATTATGAATATGTCATGTATGTCCTATCTGTGAAATTTAAACGTTAGCAGTGTCCTCAAATTCAAATTATGCAAGGAAACCCGTTTACTTGCTAGACTTCACTGTCAGACACTATTGAGTGACTGACTGGCTTTTTATGCCTCCGCTACAAAGTAGCCGGAGGCATTATGTTTTCTGGTTGTCCGTCCGTCCGTACGTCCCGTTCTCGTGATCGCGTTATCTCAAGAACCAATTGATGGATTCTCTCTAAACTTGGATCATGTATGTATCTTGCAGAGCCAATGAACTGATTAGATTTTGGGGTCACGAGGTCGAAGGTCAAAGGTCACAGGGCTCATTATGTATTCAAAAATAGCTTGTGATCGCAATATCTCAAGAACCGATCAATGGATTCCTGCCAAACTTGGGTCATATATGTATCTAACAGAGCCAATGAACTGATTAGATTTTGGGGTCACAAGGTCGGAGGTCAAAGGTCACAGGGCTCATGTATACAAAAATAGCTTGTGATCGCGTTATCTCAAGAACCGATCGATGGATTCGTGCCAAACTTGGGTCATGTATGTATCTAACAGAGCCAATGGACTGATTAGATTTTGGGGTCACGAGGTCGAAGGTCACAGGGCTCATTATGTCTACAATAATAGCTCGTGATCGCGTTATCTCAAGAACCGGTCAATGGATTCCTGCCAAACTTGGGTCATGTATGTATCTAACAGAGCCAATGAACTGATTATATTTTGGGGTCACGAGGTCAAAGGTCACAAGGCTCATTATGTATGCACAAATAGCTTGTGATCGCATTATAATGAGAACCAATAGACAGATTACTATCAAACTCAAGACATGTATATATGTATCTTGCAGAGCCAATTAACTGATTAGATTTTAGGGTCATCAGGTCAAAGGTCATGGGGCTCATTATGTATGACTATAAATAGCTTGTGAATGCATTATTATTAAAACCGACAGATGGATTACAATCAAACTTGAATTTTAAAAATTGCTTCCGTTTTGGTTTGTAAAGTTGCTCTATGGCGGAGGCATCATTTTTGACTGCGCGCAGTCAAAATTCCATCTAGTTTTCTTCTTTTGTAATAACATACATGAAAAGAGTTGTAAAGGGTACATGAGCATTTGTCTACATCAATAACCCACTTCTTGTGATGGCCAAGATTAAACTGATTGAAATCAAGACTATTACTTTTGGGCTCTATAGCCCTAAAGTCGATTTGACAACTAATAGTCGTTATTTTCCCACTTGAAGACATTTTCAAGCCCCAGCTTTTTTAGGGAAGTTCTAAATCAGTATTATCTTTCAAATGCAGTTGGAATTTAACTTTTTCATTTTTTGGCCTGCAAATGGGACATAGTACCTTTAACAAAATGTATGATGAATTGAGACTGGCATTACTATATTTTGAGAAGAATGAGTAATAAGCCTACACAAAGGTTTTTTTTAATAATTGCATTTAGAACTAGCTTCCTCACCAACATGTATGTTTTCACGTCATTGTTATCTACATCAATTAAAAATACATATTGATCACTTATTCATGCTCGTGGGTGCCATATAACAGTAAGTTTGTGTGAGTTAATTACAATTTTTCTCTCATTCGTTAATTGAACACTGGATGGTACTGAAAAGGCCACAGTTTTTAAAACAAATTCAAAAGTAAATTTACTCATCCAAGCTTTCCTCATTTTATTTTCATATCAGGTCAAATTCAACCCAGGCCCTCGCCTGGCCCGATCCCTCAAGTTTGGACCTCGGGAGGCAGACTCGATGAGCATCGAGTACGGTGGCTTGGAGTGCGCAGTAGAAATAGTTGACGACGTCACAGGTGCAATCAACCATGTCCATAAACATGGCAGCTCCCATACTGATGTGATTGTTACAAATAATGGTCAGTAGTTCTCTGTATTCTTTCCTTATTAACTCTTACAGCTAGTGCACATTTGCCACGTTTTATGCCTCTGTTGCAAAGAAGCCAGAGGCATTATTTTCGGGTTGTCCCTCCGTACGTCCCATTCTCATGATCGCGTTATCTCAAGAACTGATTAATAGATTCCTGTCAAACTTGGGTTATGTATGTATCTTGCAGAACTAATGAGCTGATTAGATTTGGGGTCACAAGGTCAAAGGTCACAGGGCTGATTATGTATGCAAAAAATAGCTTGTGATCGCATTATCTCAAGAATCGATGATGGATTCCTGCTTAACTTAGGTCATGTATGTATCTTGCAGAGCAAAATGGTGTTCATGAACTTGTTGGAGATTTCTAATGATACCAAATGTACTTTATTTCATCAATTTTTGGGGGCGCAAAAACTAGTACTCTTTTAAATTATGTTTCTTATTTGTTCAAATCTTTTAAAGTCAGACCTCGAAAATGTCTTGCAAAAATCTGTAATTGTAAAGAAAATGTATATACTACCATATAACCTTTCATAGATAAGTGGAATACCACACCTAAATATTGATCTTTATATCCTGGCTTTTGATTGGTTGAGAGCTTGTCACATGACTAGAAATATTTCAACTATTTTAAGGTTGCTTTGAAGAAGTACTATTTGGGAGTACTATTTGGGAGTTGACATTTTCTTTTTCTTTTCTTTTTTTCGTAATTGTTTTTCTTCATCAAATCTTAATTTAATAAAAATGTTTTTGTAATATTTCTTTCACTGTTTGTCAAACATACTTTAAACTGTCACAGCACAATTCAGTGAAGAAGATTTTAGTGACGATAAAAGTTACAGTGAAACATATTTATCTTTTCTCATTTTCTTTTTTTGTCTTTGACATTTTAGAAGAGACAGCGGATGAATTCATGAAGAACGTGGACAGTGCCTGTGTCTTCCACAATGCCAGCACTCGTTTCTCTGATGGATACCGATTTGGATTGGGTATGTTTCTAACTTTGGACATTTTAAGTATTTTGCTCTGCTAATGATTGCTTTGCTCTCAATCTTCATAAATTCAACTCTATACCAAACATTTTACCCTACTTAATCTTCGTTCTGAACCAAACTTGACACCGATTGCATCCCTCTGCCTTACACTATATCATTGATAAAATAAAACCAGGCAGTTGTTGCTGCAGCATATGTCTGAACACCGTATTATGTTGGGAACAAAAATAAAACAGGAGAAAATAAAATATACATGAGCTGTATTAGCTTTTCATATAATTAGATGGTTTCTTATTCTATCCAAATTCTTTTTGTTACGATTTTTCTTCTCCAGTACTGAATTATAAGATGTACCGGCAGCTACTTCATCAGAAATTGATACCCTGCAAACAAAGAGTCAATGGTTATAATTCAGTATGAATGAAGTGAATTTTGAGCAGATGTTTGTCCATTGATAATACCTGGTGGACCCAAGAGGCTATCTGCAGTATGTTTCTCCTTGTTTGATATATATATATATACAAAATTTGTTATACATGATACACTTCATATCATATTTAATCCCATCAAATAAAATCCTTCAAAACGAATTTCATTGACAGAGAGAGTGCATCTTGATGTATTCCCATATTCAAATATATGATTATTCATGATTATGTAAGGATAACTAATTGTGAACCTTGTTGAAGGTCATATCCAGTGTCCTTCAATGAATATTGAAATGTACTCAAAAGAACAAAGCACAGGATGTAATATACTACCAATGAATGTGAGGGTACGAAATCAACACAAAATCAACAAACAGATCTTCATATGACATGCCACCTGTCAATCAAAGGATGAAATATACTCTCAAGCAGGATGAAATGTACAGCTAATGAATTTTCAATTCAGGTGAAATGTACACTGATTGGGTAAACAGAGAGGAATCTAGGTCACAGTTTGGCCCAGGATGTGATTGTGGTTAGTTTTAAAATGTTGAAAATCAAGATCCTAATGATTATTCTATGGAGTTGATTTACTGATTTGTCATTTATGGAAGTGCTTGTCTTTTTATGGTGTTAAGAATGAGCTGTATTCTATGAGGGGTAAAAGGGCTATTAATGTCTAACATAATAATGATAATGATGTTGGTGATAGAATAATAATAATACCAATAGTGGTAATAATGATGATAATAATGATGGTAATGATAATAATACTTTTACTAATAATTACAACAATGATTTAATATGTTGATGATAATAATGATGATGATGAGTATAATGATAATGATGATGATTATGAAGATAATGATAATAATGATGACAATAACAATAATTGTGGTTCACAATATGCACAAGTTGCTGGAAAAGCTAAGACATGGTCAGGATAATATGGTATAGAGTATGTGCCTGGGATGCTAGAAAATAAAACAGATGTTCAGGATTATTTACAAAGAGAGACGGTTCAGAATGCTTGAAAACACATGTTAAAATTGATATGGAATGGAGTAGACCGAATTATTCAACATGTTGAAAGTGTGGAGATTAGATTACAACGAAAACTGAATATATATGTACATGGATAGCATTATGTAAACAGTGTTGAACAACTGTGTTTTGATAGCAGACTTGTACTTCTATGCAGTTGTGTCATGTTGAAGTTTGAAAGCTGATTGATAAATGGATTATAATATACAGTATATAAGAACTGGCTTACTAAATCCTGTAATAATCAACAAATTCAGTAATTTGTAAAAATACCTTACTCTTTTAATATTAATACAGTCATTATTAGATTTCTTGTTGTTGTTACATCACAGAGTTGTCAATTTGTGTGTGATCAATTTCAAGTATAAAAACTCATACCTTATTTTCTAGAAAATTTCAACCTTACACTGATCTGAATCATCCATTTTTATGCTTTTATTGAAATCAACGTCATATCATTCTGGAATTCCCCTTCAGGTAGAAATATACCAGTCCTGTTCAGCAGTGCCTATTTGTCTAATGACTATTTTTAACCAGCAATGCGATGTGATAGTATTAATTCAATATTTCTTTACAATCTGGCTAATGACTTAATGTACCCGTTTCTGTCATGAATTTCCTTCAGGAGCTGAAGTCGGTATCAGCACCACCAGGATCCACGCCAGGGGACCGGTCGGGGTGGAGGGTCTCCTCACCACCAAGTGGATCCTTGAAGGGTCCGGAGACACCGTGCAGGAGTACGCAGCAGGAGGGAGTAAGATGTTCGTACACCAGGAGCTGGAGGTAGAGAATGGGGAGGATGTCCTGGAGTCTTCAGCAGCATAGAGGTACAGTGAAACCTGTCTATAAAGACCGAGGGAGACGAGAGAAGTGGTCTTTATAGGCTTGTGGTCTGTATGTACAGGTTCCTTTAGTACATGTTTCAATAAGGAACCATTTTCAAGGGAAACAAAAAATGTGGTCTTTGTAGACAGGTGGTCTTTCTATACAGGTGGTCACTAAAGCAGGTTTGACTGTATCTGGAAAGTCCCTCTGTTTCCCTGGAACTTAGATACTGTTCTAAACCGTTTTTTCCACTTCATAAATTCAGATAATATATTAGGTGTAAAGTAAAAAAGTGATGGAGAAAAAGACTAAGCAAAGAAAGATCTTGCATACCACTACAACCTGTGTGCACTATGTGTAGACATGCCTAGCGATTGTTAACATTACAATATATGTCTCATTTGACCTTTGACACCTGTACACAAGGAGCTGGAGGTGGAGAACGGGGAGGATGTTCTGGAGTATTCAACAGCATAGAGGTGTCTGGAAAGTCCTTCTATTTCCCTGGAACTTTCCATTTCATAAATTTAGATAATATTTTAGAAGAAATGTAGAATACTGATGGAAAAAAAAGACTAAGCAAAGAAAGATCTTGCGTACCACTTCACCCTGTTTGCACTACGTATCTGGAAAGTCCCTCTGTTTCCCTGGAACTTAGATGCTGTTCTAAATAGTTTTTTCCACTTCATAAATTCAGATAATATATTAGGTGAAGAGTAGAAAAGTGATGGAAAAAATGCTAAGCAAAGAAAGATCTTGCGTACCACTATAACCTGTGTGCACTACGTGAATACATGCCTAGCGATTATAAACATTACAGGATATGTCTCATTTGACCTTTGACAGCTATCCGTGAACTGGCTTATTATTATTCTTGATGATGTAGTAAGATTTTGGAGAGAGATTTTTGTATTTTATTACTTCATAATTATTATCCCTGCCAGTACAAACATCAGAAAGTGTACTGACCATCATTACTAATACCGGTAGTTAATACATGTAAGTCTTTTTTCGACAAGTAAACGGTATGTTTTGTTTGAACATGAACTTGTGTCACTGTTTACTATGTGATAATGTTTGTGTTAATGGTGTTGATGATGATGGTGATGATGAAGATAATGATGATAATGATTAGTGTGTTTATGATGATAAAAAAAAGATGATGATAATGACCTGAATTTTTTCCAGGGTCATGCTTGTGATTATAGGATAACCGACATTCTGCATATCACTGTTGAAATTATAAGGATTTTTATGATAATAGTGATAATGCATGTGTCAATCTTTTTATTCACCTTCATCATTGTATACAGCTCTTGTGTGTTATAATGCTCTTTATTGAATGGGCGAAATATTGAAAAAGTCTTCTTATGTGCTATAAAAATTATTGCATAAATGGTTTTGAAATTAGAGAGCCTTGGTTATGTGAATTTTGATTTCTAAATAAGCATCCTCAGTCCTCACATTATGGTGCACAGCTGACAGAAGAAAGTGTTCGGTAGGAAAGTGCCTTGTGATCAGTTAATAATTAAAATGGTTTTTATTGTTAATTAAGTTAAATTTAATGTTAATTAATTTTGTCATATGTTTACTTTCCTTCTCATTCAGTTCAGCTTTGAACATTTCAAGTATTTCTTGTTAGATATTTATTTCTAAAGGCTCTGTTCTTTTAACAGTTTATTCAAAGTTATCAATTCTTGGGCTTCCTTTTAGAAACCACTTGGTCCTGTCTACTGTGTAACCAGAAGCATTTATATATTCAAGATTAGTTTTATTTCTCGCAGCATTTAAATGTAGCATACTTTAGAAGGTATCGTCAGAAATCATCATTCTTTTTTGGAGCCAAAAGCATGCATGTTATTTATTCAAGGACACCTTAATTCATTGCAAGAATGTATTCATGTATTGAAATTAATTACCTTGCTCTTTGAAATAGCAACTCAAATACATTTGTGGACACTGAATATATAGTGTCCCCCACCCCTTATTTGTTATAACATTCTATAGGTGTCCATTTATTAAAGGCCTTGAATACAATGTGACTGCAATTTATCATATATGATTTATAAGCTGGGTATTTTATTATTTACCATTTCTTTTGTAAGTATTATCTAGAATCTACATTCCTTGACACTTCAATATTAGGTATTCACTTTCAGTAGAAAAGCCTTTTTTTGTCGCTTGTAAGCTATGTAAACATTCATTTCATTATTAGTAGATATAGTTTCATGTTACATGTATGCCTTTAAAATTTAAAGCAGTAAGTGATATTTAATGTGAACATTTCTAAGGACCTAACCTCCCACCCTCTCTATATAACTATTATCTGTTTATGCTAGAAAGTTGGAAAATAGACATAAGCATGTAGCTGTACTAGAAGCCGGTTGTAGTATAATGGAAAGAATGATGTAACTATATAGGCCTACTTTATTTTGGGAAAATCATTTTAGAAATTCATAGTTTCAGTTTGTAAATTCCAGTGTATTATTGTCAAGACTCGATTTGCCATTCTTGTCGCACTTTCAATGTATTCGCAAACTAATAAGTATGTTTGATATGACGTAAAGTCACTTGTTTTCTCATAATCTGGTACTCTTTCTATGAAGACAATAATGAAAGAAATTGGTTGATTATCATGCTCATGTACATATTTTTTGAAGGTGCCAAACAATGATCTGAAATGGATTTTGTGCTGCTCAATTCTTATTCATCCTCAAATAAATGTGCATGTTACCTTGATGGGTTTTACCATGTTATTTATGATTATTGATATTTCCACTTAGAGATGCGCTGCTCATATGTGCCACGCAACAACTGGACAATGTTTCATAAAACTTGTTACCAGTAGCAAGTTCCAATAACCGATAGCAAATTCGCCATAGAATTTTAGAATTTATTGATAACAAGTTTTTTTAAACAGGGCCCTGTTTTTTAAATTTTATCTATTTTTATTTTGTTTAGTCTGTATTAATCTTAAATTTGACTACATCAGGCAGCTTTGCCCTACTTCAGTCGAATCATCTTTTAACTTGACAAACCACATCTATTTGCTATCCAGTACCATCATTACTTTGTGCAATATCTGCAGCTTTGCAGTACGTCACTGGACCCCTTAGACCTTGACTTCGTTAGGCTGATAGCTGAAGTGTATGATAATTATAAGATACCAGTTGTAAATCATTACATGTAGTTATAAACCTGATTGACCACAATCTTTAGAAGAAGGAATGTGTCAAGAGAAGGTGTGATATGCAACACCATCTAAAAATCCAAACGGCAAAGAATTTCGTTGAAAATTAGTCTTTAAGAAGATGAATATTATTTAAAAAATGTTAAAGGGAAAGTCCACCCTGAAATTAAGTTAGTTTTAATAGGAGTAGAAAAATGAGAGAAACAAGTCAGTGAAAGTTTGAGCAAATTCCGATTACAAATAAGGAAGTTAGGATTTTTGAAGTTGTGATCAATCAAACACAAATTGGCAACTCTATGACGTATCATGCGAGCTCAACTTCCATTTGCTCAGTACTAAAAAAATCTAAAATTTTCATTTTCCCTCAAGAAAAATTTCAACCATACATGCACCCTAAATATAATAATTGCAAATATGTTTCTATACTCCCCCTGCAAGGAACAAATATATATTCCGTCATCAATAACGAAGAAAACATGATTTTATGGAATATTATGCACAAAGCAAATGAAGGAGAGCTCGTATGATAAGTCACAGAGTTGCCAATTTGTATTTAATTGATCACAACTTCAATAATTCATAACTTTCTTATTTTCATTCAGAATTTGCTCAAACTTTCACTTACCTGATTTTCTTATTATTCTGCCTCTATCGAAACAAACTTATTTTGGGGGTGGACTTTCCCTTTAAAGATGGGAGGCTGTGAAGAGATAATGAAGTTAGTTGCCTTTTTGTACTTATTAGCAAAATTTTGCATGCCCCTGTCAAAAATGTATTGGAATTTGTGATTTTCTCTCAGAATCTTCAGTGATGACTATTTCATTATTCTGTTCTACACAATAACATAATATGTTGCTGCTTTGTTTAACACTTAAAAGGTCGTTGTCATCATCATTATTTTTTCAATGAGAATGTAATTTATGTCACAAATTTTAATCTGTAGTTTGAACCATTTATTGGAGATGGTTGAATAGGAAATAAGACTTCACATAATTTTCATTCACAAATAGTTTGCAAAGCTACTGGTCATTGAGATATGCCTGTATTATGCTACATTTGCTACAACAGGTAAATATAAATATGTTGTAGTATTTTTTATTTTTTATTTTATCATTAATGTCTTCATATTTTTTTTTTTTGCCTATTTAAAATTTTGATTATACAGTGTATATGCATTATCAATGATTTTGATAATGATGAAATCTTGTAAAAGGCTTCACCCGTCAACTTAAAATATTTTTGAAGAAAATTGATTGGACAGGAATGAGATGTATAATGGCTAAGAAATACTCATTAAATGGCATTATACATTTACTAACTTTTGTTCTCCTTGCAATTTGTTTTTGTTATCTCAACCATTACCTTATCTCCTACCACCTCTAATCACCTCAACCACCTCAACCACATGATTCTATATACAACACTCGGCTTCCGCAACTCTTGCTCTGCAATAATTTCCTACACAAACCAACTTCCGACTTCAACCCTAGACCGAACGTATAGAGTGGTGAAGTGTGACGTCATCACAAATCTATTTTTTGAATTTCTCAATTTTTCTTCATTTTACGAAGGAGCATACAAAATAATGTCCAAATGTCGAAAACCAATTGAATATGTGCAGTATTGGCTGAGATATGACAATCTGAATAAATAGATTTCCTAAAGGAGCTCAGTGTTATTTTGCTCTGGTTCGCAATGTTATGAACCAGAGCAAAATAACACTGAGTTCCTATAGGAAATCAATTTATTCAGATGGTCATAGATCAGCCAATACTTAACATAGGCCTATTCAATTAATTTTCGACATTTGGACATTATTTTTTTACTCTCTTTTAGAAAATGAAGAAAAATTGAGAAATTCAAAAAATAGATGT